TGTGTGTGTGTGTGTGTGTGTGTGTGTGTGTGTGTGTGCGCGCGCGTGTGTGTGCCAGTACTGGGGCTTGAACTCCAGGTCTGATTGCTGTCCCTTATTTACATTTCTCCTTAAGGCTGGTTCTCTACCACTTGAGCCACAGCTCTGCTTCCCTCTGTGTGCTGGCTAGTTGGAGTTAATAGCAGAATGGATTTGTGTGCCCCAGTTGGCTTTGAATCACATCCTCACATGTCGAGCTCCTGAGTAGCTGAGCTTACCTGAGTGAGCCACCAGCACCTGACTAGCTGAACCCTTTCTCTGCGAGTCTCCAGTGATTTGCCTTAGCAAAACGTGGCCACCAAATTTCTTCCCCTCGACTCTGATGAAAAGGTAATTCCAGCCATATAGTGCCATTTGTCTGTAAGACAAGATGTCACAGTCCCATGGATTAGCAGACAGTGTTTCTGCCATCCCTGAGCCTCTGGCTGTTTGGCTCCTCCACCCTCCACATCCCTGTGAGCAGATTGCCCCCACTTGCACTGAGTGCAGGAGCTGTGTTCAAATTGCTTGTCTTTTTAGCTGCTGCTTCTCCACCATTGAGAACCAGCCACCAATTGTTCCTGAAGCTCAGCCACTGTTTAAACAATAGGCACCGATCATTTCCTCATCTCAAGTCTTCTTTTCAGGGAGGAGGAAGGACCCCATGAGAGAAGCCAGCCCTAATGCCCCCCTGCGTTCAGCATGGGGCAAGTCACGTGTGGGGGCCGGTTTTTGGAATCCAGTAAGTCCAGCCTCTGTTCTTGTTTTGTTCTGTCATCTGGGGAGGAAAAGCCACAGGAGCCTCAGGGCCTGGGTGCTGTGACTGAGCTTTTGTGCTGTGGACTAGTGCTCTACCACCTGAGCCAATGCTCCACTTGTGGGTTTTCTTTTTTTGATTAATTGAAGATAAATGTCTCACACACTTTCCTTCCCAGGCTGGCTTTGAATTGTGATCCTCAGGTTCACTGATTCTTCAGAGCATGGGTATCCAGTAGTTTCTTTACTGAAATTTAGAAACATCATTGACTCCATCAATACCCCCTGAATCTCCAGAAACCATAAGGCAAGGTGGAGGCGACCCCACCTCCTTGGCAAAGCTCCTCCCCCACACTCCTCACCTTTGGCCCTGTCCCTGAATCACAGGCTCTTCCCCAGCACTCTCCACCTGAAGAAACTCCCCCTCTGCTCAAGCCCCTGCCCCAACCCTCACCTATCCCTGAAGCTGGGCCAATGGCCTGACAGCTGCATCACCAGGTTCCTGGTGGCCTCCAGCTTCTCCTGAAGGTTCTGAATCTCATTTTGCTCACTGTCACCTTCATTGCTGACAAGGATCATGCCTCATATCTAAGGAAACCTGTGTAAACTTCTTTCCTAACAGCAAAAAACGTGCAGAAATGTCAGAGGCAAAGTGAAGAGATGTTGCTGCTGGAGCCCAGGGATTAACTCAACGCCCCCTGACTTTGTGTCTGTGCTCTGCGATCTGAGATTTTTCTCTGGTGCATCCACTTTGCCATCACATATTTCCAGAAGGCCCGAGAAGATTCTCAGACAAGCATCTTATGGAACACAAACAGCCCCTCACTTGTGCAATGCCTTCTTCTGCACATCTCAAAACAGCCCAAACTCGGGAGCTCACCTCGCTCCTATTCATTCTTCAGACCTTTATCACCTCTGAACCCAAAGTCTCCCTATTGAACACGAAGCCCATGTCTGCACCCCTGAGGATGCTGAAGACGTCTTCAGGCACTGCCTGTCCCTGGCTGCCCTGGAATCCAGCTCCTTTCTCTGCCCTTCACCAGCTCTCTTTATTTGGCATATGGGGATGAATGGCCAGAAATAATGTAAGACTCTCCAGGACTGGGCCTGGGGTCTAGAAACCTGCTTACAGAAACTCAGGAATAAGAACGGAGACATACAATGAATAATCCTGAAATTACACAATTGCATTATTGCATCTATCTATCTATCTATCTATCTATCTATCTATCTATCTATCTATCTATCTATCTATCTATCTATCTATCTATCTATCTATCTATCACCTATCTATAGACCTATTGATCATGCCAGTAGAGGAGTTTGAACTCAGTCTCACACTCATGCTCATTTTTTTGCTCTCATAAGTGCTCTACCACTTGATCTACACATTCGCTTCCAAATTTTGCTGGTTCACTGGAGTTAAAAGTGTATGGGATCCTAGGCTCCCAGCCACCCAAGTAGCCAGGACTATAGGTATGAGCCTTGTGTGCTAATATTACAATATCTAAGCCACACACTAAGGCAGCCTCTGTCCAGAGGAGGGGCAGAGCAGGGCCAAGGGAATCAAATGGGGTTTTGACACTGGTCCCCAGGAGTTGGGGAAAGATTTCAAATGTTCACACAAATGTGCTGTGGTCTTTCAGTTAGGTCCTCGAAAGATCTAGGAGAGAGAATGTTGCTGAAGCATGAGGTAGGATCAGTGGGGTGGGCTGCAGAAATGAGGTCCAAGTAGGGGTACAGCAGAGGTATGCACTGCTTCTCTTTCCCCTGGTATGAGAGAAAAGGCTTCTAGAATAAGAGGATGGTCAAGGAAATGTTTCCACTTGAGCTGCCACAGGCTCTCCTCCAATGTCCACCCCAGGTTTCCTGGCAGCTCTCAGCCTCCTGCTGTACTCAGGGAAGAGCACCGGCCCTGGCTTGCTCTCTATGCTTCCTACAGAAACAGCTGTTATGGAGAAATGATTTGCCCACACAGCAATCACTTGTACAACATCTGTTTTCCTAGGCAGATTGTGTATGTAGTATGGTGTGTGTGTGTGTGTGTGTGTGTGTGTGTGTGTGTGTGTGTGTGTGTGTGTGTGTTTGTGTGTGTCTGGCTGGCTGGCTGTCCGTCTGGCTGGGTGTTTGGGTGTGCTCATATTGGGGCTGAACTCAGGGCCTAGTCACTGGACCTGAGCTTTGTTGCTCAAGCTTAATTCTTCTAGCTTAGCCACAGCTCCACTTCTGGAATTATGTTGGTAAATTGGAGATAAAAGTCTCACAGGATTTAAAGTCCGAGGTGGCTTCTACCTCTGATCCTCAGATCTCAGCCTCAAGAATAGCTAGAATCCGAGTCATCATTTTTTTTGCAATCATTATTATAAAGTTGATGGACAGAGATTTGACAGTGAAATAAATCAGTTCATGAGAACATTTCTTTTTAGACAATGACCACTCTTGGACTCTTGGCATCGATTCTCATTTGATCTGTCAATCACCCCTCATCCAACATGAGACATGCCATCAGTCAATGAAGATATGCCATCCTAGCAATGAGGAGAAGAGACCTCCTAGACCCACCAAGACAGAGCTAGTCCTGGTGACAAGGGTCTACCAGAGGCACTTGGCAAAAACATCCTAAATGGAGTCACTCTGTGCTTGCCCTTTCAAAATTTACCAGAGTCAGGAGATTAAAAGAAAATAGATCATAAGTATGCCTATTTAATGCCCATCCCTGTCTTGTAAGTGGACAGGAACTTACATTCTTGACCATGATACCTGCTATTTCTACTTATAGTGTTTTTCCATCCATACTCTGTAGTTCAAATGTCTGTAATCCAGGCATTTTTGCCCATTTACAGGAATGATGCAGGACTCCCATTAGGCCCTTAACCACTCGATTCCCCCTAGCTTCTAAATTTTTATTCTTAACTAGTCCCTGTGCGGTTGCCAGACCTTAATCAGTCAGATGTACTCAGGGACATGATCCACCAGCTCCAGGATCATCTGGCTTACAAGAGAGAGGAAGTATCCATGCCAGCCAACATCTTTCCTTTCCACTGTGAATTAATGGCTGCCCTTTCATCTGTGTGTGCCTTCTGATAATGTTTTGTCTTATTGTTCAGTTGCTACCTTATAAGATGTCTTTCAGATTTCAGCCAAGGATATATACATGCATTCACCACCCAGGAACGGTTACTGTTACTTTCTCCTGGACCAGATGAAATCCCGCCTTCTACCCCTAACGTCCACTCTGCTTGACAAAAGGAAGTAGCTATAGATAGTCAGCGCCCCTTTGTAACTATCAAAATGTTGGAATGTTAAGTCTGCTCAGGGAGAATGGACCCTTCTCTTTTCTCTTCTCCAGGGGATACCGTAAGAAGATGCCCAAATGTTTGTTCTCCCCAAAGGACAGCACATGGACCTGACGAGAAGCCCCTGCCCAACACCTTAAACCCATGTAAATAGGAGCATAGGGAGGCCCCCACGTCACCAGGTCACTTGCAGCAACCCCTCCTCCCCTCCCTAAGTTGGCTTCCTGCACAACAACATATCTTGCAAGCTGCAAGAGGGGCTCTCCCAAATGAACTCTTTCTACCTGAACCACGTGGCAGTCTCCTCTCAGAAACCTGTACACTTTGGTTCTGAGAAATGATAACCTTCTTATTCTTTTTATTCTTTTGGAAATGACTTTATTGATTCATTGATACAGTAAATTGTGGACAGTCAGGGACTGCCCCAGACCTGGGGGGATTTCCTCACAATCATTTAGCCAAACAAGAGCATGGTCAAGTTCTTTCCAGGCTGAATTCACTCCAGATTCCTGAGGATGTGTACCCATGTAGGACAAAAGTGCTCAGCATCTCCTGGAGTACCATAGCTACGATTGAAAAGAAAAGCTCAGAAACAGAGGTCTCTCTCTTCCACCCACACTGACTTATTGGGGTCTATGCCCCCCTGGAGAGTGCTTTTACACCAAAGCCTTCATTTCTTTTTTATTTTTATTTTGCCAGTCTTGGGAGTTGGTCTGAGGACAAGGGCACTATCCATGAGCTACTTCTGCTCAGGCTAGTATTCTGCAACTTGAAAAACAGCATCACTTCTTGCTTTTTCTGAGTGGTACTGAGGAAATGAACTCAGCGCTTCATGCATGCTAGGCAAGCACTATACCACTAAGACACAATTCCCGACTCCAACTTTCATTTCTGAGTGCTCAGAAGAGAGCCCAGGAGAGATGCACCTGACTACAGAGGCAGAGCAGAAAGGCCAGGAAGACGCTCCATGGTGACCACCCAGTTGCCTTCGGGCCCCAGGGTATAGAATTGGCATGTTTTGTGACGATGAGAGAAATTGGTACAGATCTGGGCCTTCTGAGTAGTCCCCATGTCTCTCAATGCCTGTGCCAACCTAGCCTGAACCTGGGCAAATCTCTGAGAGTCAAAGTTCCCAACCCTACAGCCTTGAGGGTGGTAGCTCTCCAGAGGGGCAGGGTAGAGCCCTCGTCTCAAATGAGGCAGCCTGGCTATGTGGCTCAGGAGGCTCTGCATGGCAGACATGGAGATGTGGTTTCCATAGAAACTGAAGACGCAGAGCTGGGAGCACAGGCTCAGGGCGGGCAGGATGCACAAGAGCTGGGGATCCGTGATGGCGCAGTCCTCCAGGGCCAGGGTCTCCAGGGTACCGGCCGCGTGCTCCAGTAGGACTCTCAGGGGCTCAGGACTGAAGTTGTCCAGGGGCAAACTCCTCAGACGCAGGTGCTTGAGCTGCCTGGAGCAGGGCCACTGGGACAGGAACCACAAGTCAGCCTCCTTCAGTGGACACGAACTCAGAGACAAGGTCTTCAAAAGGGTGAGGTTCCTGAGGATGGTGGGCAGCTGTCCATAAAGGAAGAAGACTTTGTGCACATACAGCTCCTGCAGATGCTGCAGCTGTCCCAGATGTACAGCGTATTTGCAGGAATATGAGAAATTCTTGTGTCTGGAAGTGTTGAAGTTGGCACTCATCCTGGAGAATTTGAGGATGCGAAGGTTCTTCATCTGGCTCAGGTAAGGAGCAAATTTTTTCATGGTTTCTCGATGCCAGAATTTATTTACCTTTAGTTCCTGGATAGAGTCCAGCTGCACTGTAAGGAGAGCCTTCTGGATTATGTAGATGGAATTGGAATGAATCTGCAGCTTCCTTGAGCAGAGTTGGACTCTTTCTTGCTTCTCCCTGGCCCACTGGAGCAGGTAGGCTTGGAGAGCATTCTGGGAGCCATCTTTGATGGTCAGGTTCTTGTGTATAATCAAGGGCTGCTCTTCAGTTATCAACAAACTACAGCTCTCTGTTGGCCTGTCAGTCAGGACATCTGGATAAGAGATTCGGGCTATTGAAGGGTAACCCTTTATCCAGATGTTGGGGTGCTCCTTCCGCAGGTTGATGACTTGCAGTTTCCACCGACTGGGGCGCTCCTTCTTGGCCAGTAGCAGATCGAGCCCATCCAGGACAGCGTTGAAGGTTTCCAGGTCTGGAGACTCTGCCAGGTCCCCCAGGGGGAGGCAGGAGAAAGGCCAGGCCTGCACCAGGGCCTTCAGCACCTCTGTGTGGGCCCTGGCATAGACCTCCATGAACAGCGAAGGGAACAGCAACACCGGTAGATCCTCCAGGGCAGCAATGGCCAGAGCCTGGTTGCTCAGCAGGCTCTGCATGGCCAGATGCTGGAGCGAGGGTGGGGTCCTGTGGCTCATCTTCATGGATGGGATGTGCACCAGATTTGAGCCAGCAGTGCAGGCTCTCTGCTGGACACTGATTGCAGGCCCCAGGATTCTGTTGCTCTCCTCTGGTCTCTGGGCATCTTTATAACTAAAACCCACACTCGCCCTTACATATCTACCAATCAGAGAGCAACCTCTGATGGGATTTCTGAGACACGCCCATCACACCTGGTCTGCTGGATTAATTGAAGCGATGGTTCTACCCAGACTGATAGGATTATAGGTGTGACCGGGTTGGTGAGGCTTCCATTTAAAATTTATAACACAGTCAAACAAGCATTTCCCACACTTACATGTTAATCCGTTGAGAAACATTCACAGATATTTCACTATCCTGAGCCTGTAATGATTCCAATAATATTAACCAGCCCAACGTTATAGCATCCACCATATCTCTAAGAAATTTTCTTTTCCTTTCCTTCCTTCTTCCCTTCCTCCCTCCCTCCCTTCCTTCTTTTCTACTTTCCTTCCTTCCTTTCTCCCTCCATCCCTTCTTTCTTTCCTGGCTGCCTTTTCCTTTTTTTAAATCTTGTGCTGGACTGGGACTTAAACCCAGGGCCTACGGGCTGCTTATGTGTTACTTTAAGTCAAGGACAGTGCTCTACCACTTGAGCCACAACAGAAATCCTGAATCCAAAAATGTCTCACTGGGCTGGGAAGGTGGCTTAGTGGTAGAGCATTTGCCTTGTGTGCATGAGGCCCTGGGTTCGATTCCTCAGCACCATATAAGCAAAAAGAAAAAAAGCCGGAAGTGGCGCTGTGGCTCAAGTGGTAGAGGGCTAGCCTTGAGCTGAAGAGCTTAGGGACAACGCCCAGGCCCAGAGTTCAGGCCCCACAACCGGATCCCCTCCCCCAAAAAACAACCAAAAATGTCTCACCTGTTATTGGCCTAGTGTGTGTGTGAACTGTGACCCTCAGATCTCAGACTTCTTGAGTAGTAGGATTCTAGGAATCCTAGAATTTTTGTGAGAAGTTTCTTGGTGATAATATTCTCACATGCATTCTTGCCTGGCTGGTTTCTAACTGACATCCTCAGATCTCAGTCTCTGGAATCAAATTAAAAGCAAGAGACAGCTCTTTTTCTCTCTCTGTTCGTTTCTAGCACTTGCTCTTGCTCTTCTTTTCTAGCTCTCTCTGCTCTCTCTCTGCTCTAGCTCTTTCCTCTCTCTCTTTCCCAGCCACGTGGAGTGCCAACCTTGCCTGGTCCCAGCAGGTCTACTGAATAAACCTACCCCTTACCTGAATACCACGTGAGTGCTACTGTTCTTACCCCTCTCTCTGCTCTTTTCTAGCTCTTTCCTCTCTTTCCCAGCTCTCTCTCATTCCCAGGCCTTTCTCAGCCACGTGGAGTGCCAACCTTGCCTGGTCCCAGCAGGTCTACTGAATAAACCTACCCCTTACCTGAATACCACGTGCGTGCAGGAGCTGTTCTTACTCGGCTACCTCTTTTTAAAAACCTAACATAAATGGTGCCGTGACTCGGATAAAGGGCTTAAAGTCAGGATAGCTGGGATTTCTCTGTTTTTTTTCCTCTTTTTTCTTTTTTTGTTCTTCCCTTTTTGCTCTGAGGAATACCCACAGTTCTGACGCCCTTTTGCGAACCAGTCTGTCTGTGGCGGAATCAGCGCATCCATACCATTGCTGCCTTCACATCCACGTCCACACCACTTCTCTACTCTGGTGAGTGAAACTACTCTCTAAGGCTCTCCGTTGCTCAGTCTCTGTTCAGATGTGGCGCCACGCCAGAGAGCTCCTACGGCCTTTAGCTGAAAGGCCGGTCACCTCTGAAGCCGAGGACGCTTGGTTTGGGGGCTTGGCCATTTCTCTCTAGAGGGCTCTGGGGGAAGTTGGGATGCTGCTTCTGCCTGGTTAGCTCTCCTTCACTCACCAGACTGACCCCATTACTCATTTAATGGGGTGCTACGAATCACACCTGAGCCGTGAAACCCCTTTGAAATGCCTCCTGCGCTCCCTGGAAAGCCAGAGAGCCTAATTTTATGCCGTTCTCAGAAGTACACAGTTTTTGCTACTGCAATGGTAAATGGTCAGAAGTTTGTTTAATTTCAGGCTCTCTTTGCTCTCTTTCTGCCATTCATGTCCAACTTTCTACCCTTTGTTCTACAACTTTTTGGCTTGTGCCTTGAAGAGTGCGACGCAGGCTGGGTCCCAGGGACCCCCCTCTAGGTTCCCTCTCAAAGGCTAGCCAATGTAGGCTTGGTCTATTTTTTCAGGCTTTCTTTGCATTCTTTCAGAAATTCTCCATCTTGGCCACATGGTGGATTAAGGGTTTGGCCCCATCTTACCCTTAACCTTCCACTAAGTTTACTTCTTCATCTATTCTAAGGTGCCTTGCTAACAAGTTGCTCTTTTCACAGGCCCTGGTAACTGAGGCCCAACCATCTAATGTGCTTTGTTAGCAAAGATGTCTAAATGTCAAAATTTTAGGTTTTGAGTTTTGCCTTTTTTGTTCTGTGTTGTGTATTCTACTACTGACTACATGGTACTAAAATACTGGGCATACCTATGCTAAAATTCTCATCACATCTAATGAGTTTTGTCATTGCAGAATATTTGTTGGTCAGTTCTTGATAGGAGCGGGTAAGCTCTACTTATTCTACTTGATCTCCTTGTTGCTTTAATTGGAAATAATAAAGGGCTTTTGTGGCAAAGATTGCAGTTCAAAGCCCGCCCGGGCTGAAAAATCCCTAAGACTCCATCTCCCAGCTAAACTCTGCAAGTGGAACTATAACTCAAAGTGGTTCAGTGCTAGCCTTGAGCAGAAGTGCTCAGGGACAGTGCCCAGGCCTTGAGTTCAAATCTTGAATACCAACTGGGACAAGCCATCCCTGCAACGAGCACCTAGACTCAGCCAGTCTGGGGAACAAGGGAACATGGAGAGGAGTAAGAGGAGATGTCACATCATCTACTTTGTGTCTGCCCTTTCAAAATTAACCTGAGCTGGGAGGTCAGTAGAAGTAAGAAGCCTGCCCATCTAGTGTCCATACCAGTCTACCTATTAACTGGACAGGAATTTATATTCTTGCCTTTGTCACCTGACTTCTCCACCTAGTCGCCCGATGTCAGAAGTAGCGAGGGACATTTCTACCAACATTTTCAGCCCCAAGTCCTTCCTCTTGCCATTTATTTGCTGTCTAGTATTTTTTTTTCCAGCCCCTCAATGCTCATGAGACTTCTCCAGATTTCATCTAAGGACTCACGCCACCAAGGGACAGCTGCTGCTCACTGTCTTCTCTGGGAGGAGACCAAATTCCAGCCTTTTACCCCTATTGTCGACGCCCCTTTTCAGCAGGAAGTAGCCAGAGAGAATCCTTGCCCTATTTCATGATTATTAAAAGGCTGGAATGTAAGGTCCGCCCCTGGATGGCAAGCAGACTCCACCCTCCTCGCAGCAAAGTCTCCACCCAGTACCTGCGTTACCTAGGCAACTGAGACACCTGGAAGAGGTCACATCTGCATCCGCTGAGGTCACATCTGAATTTGATGTGGCCACACCTTTCCCCGCCCATACCCAAGATAAGGCCTAGCCCAGGCCCAGACTCTCTCTTTTTCTCTCTCTGTTCGTTTCTAGCTCTTGCTCTTGCTCTTCTTTTCTAGCTCTCTCTGCTCTCTCTCTGCTCTAGCTCTTTCCTCTCTCTCTTTCCCAGCCACGTGGAGTGCCAACCTTGCCTGGTCCCAGCAGGTCTACTGAATAAACCTACCCCTTACCTGAATACCACGTGAGTGCTACTGTTCTTACCCCTCTCTGCTCTTTTCTAGCTCTTTCCTCTCTTTCCCAGCTCTCTCTCATTCCCAGGCCTTTCTCAGCCACGTGGAGTGCCAACCTTGCCTGGTCCCAGCAGGTCTACTGAATAAACCTACCCCTTACCTGAAAATAAATAAATAAATAAAAGCAAGAGACATGTGTCTAGGTGAGCACAAAGTGAATTCTTCATGTAGAAGTGCGAAGGAACTGTGATCTGCATGCTTCAGACACATGGGATCAAATCTCAACCAGCACAGCTTTAAGTACCGAAAATTCTCATCCCCAAATATTGGAGAAAGAGAAAGAATTCTCTTGGCTTTAGTGGGATGTCATTTGGAAAGGAATGCAGGATGGGGTGACACTGTACAAGAAGAAACGTAGTCATTACTTGAATCATGAAACTGTAGTCCTGTACCTCAACTTAAGAAAATAATTTAATAATCTAAAAGAAAGAGTCTCCGATTTTCCTGCTAGTCTAGCTTCTAACTGCCATCCTCTGATCTTAGCCTTTGACTAGTAGAATTACAGGCAGCATCTACTGTGGAGCACATGGGCAGCAAAGATGGCGCTGGGAGAGAGTAGAGTGGGCAGAGCCCAATTGACCTGCCGATCAGTGCCTAACCAGCCCGTGAAGGCTCAGGTGCATGATAGGGTGTGACCTTGACAGTGATTGGCTCCTCTTCCTCCTTTACCATGCCACCCACCCTTTTTGTCTTTAAAAGGGGCTGCTCTCAGTTAATAAACGAGTTTTCAACCTGCTGGATTTGGCTCCCCGCTGTGTCTGATGGTCTCCCGGGCTGAGGGAGGCTGGGGAACGGGCAAGCGCCGCACTTACCTTTCCTCGGACCCCGTCCGTCTTTTGTGGGACGGACGAAGACCCAACCATCTACCAGATGCAAGTGTGAATCTTTCTTTCATTTTTTTTTTAAAATTTTTGGTGTTTCTGGGTGGACAGGAATTGAATATTTCCAGTAGAAGAGCAAATGAAGTGTGGCCTGCATTCTCGAGGCAAATTTGGCCATATCTCAATCACTATGGTGTAAACTACTAAGAATACTTACTCCAAAAGGTGTGAGATGTGGAAAGGGTTCTCTTGCCCTCAACGGAGGCCATATGGTAATTGATGTTGAAATTTACCCTGTAACTTTTCCACAGAACATGATCTATATCT